AATGTTTTTATTCTTCTATATATTAGGATATGAAAACTCTCTCACTGAAATGTCGATGACAATTACTGAAATATATCGAACTTTACTGAAATATATGGAAATCTGATTTCTTCACTATGTTCAATATAACATTCGTACGATTGTTAACCCTTCGTTTGCAATCTTATTTTTACTGACTCCGTCTGCAATCTGGGTATATTTTGTCCAGCTCAAAACTTTTATTGTTCAAGGCTTTCAAAAAATCTAAAAAAATTTAGAGTTATTTCTCACTATTTCTACTACATTACTATATAGTTGTGAAACCCAAATACTTAAACCTTTTTTAATAAAAATTCAAAAGTAAATCAAGATGAATCGAAAATGGAAATTTACTTTAAAATACATGATTTAGCAATAAAGTAATATTAAGAAAAACTGTTTCATATTCTATGATCTTTCAAAAAATTGTACATTCGCTCCAAAAAATATAATTATTTTAAGACTTGAATGTGGGGTAATTTTATAGTGATTCATAAAATTAATAAATATCACATAAAGCAAGATTTAAACCAAAAAGAAATTTATATTATAAAAATACGTGAAATTATAAAATATACATTAATAAAGAATATATATCCAGTAAGCAATCTGTGAGTCAGATTGACAACAGGATCTGTCGAATTCGAATAGGATCTGTCGACAGATTCGTAGTCATCTGCGTCCCCAATCTGCCGTCAGACTGCTGACAGGGTCTGCTAACAGACTCTGACATCAGATTGGCGGCAGATTGTGCGCAGAGCCTGCCGACAGACTCTGATGGCAGATTGCGCGCAGATCCTGTCGTTTCGTATGTTCTTCAATTAAATTTAGAAAATAATCTCATAATTTTTCATAATTACTCATAGAATGAGTGCTTTCTCATAAATACTCATAAATACTCGTAAAATACAATGAAGAAAAAGTTTTTCTATATTATTTTTTCATAATTTTTAAGATTTTCTCTAGTGAGATTCAAACTTGAACCGAAGATATTTTTGGATAATCGTCCGTCGCCTTTCCTCACTACGCCAATTCCTCACTTGATAAAAAGAGCTTTGTATTGCCCACTTATAGTTTAAAGAAAAAAATCGTAGAGTTTGTTCGTCTTTTAAACCGCAAAATATAGACGAAACCATTTAGCGTATAAATAATGTAAGAGAGACCGGCACGAGAATTCGAAATTAATTTTCTACCTCTATATATTTCTAGAACTGTATAGAAAACTGTATAGAAAATTACTGCAATAAAACAACAGATAATGACATTTTGCCATCATGCTAATAAAATACATAAAATATATAAAATACATAAAATACTTTGCATGTGCTTTTACATGTGCGAATTAATTTGGTTGATCGTCCAATTCAGATTGTATTAAATTTTATCAAAATCGAAGCATGATATATTTTCAAATAAACCATGACAAAAATTCTATATAAGTTATTTACATGGCGAGACTAAAGCTTGATCTACAATGTGTCATTTGCCTCTTGTTTCTTTTTCTTTATCTCTTTCTGACTCACACCTTCAGCCTTCAACTTCAAAAAAGACAGAGAACAAGAAACAGGAAGCAAAGACCACATTGTAGATCAGGTTTAATATTTTATTCGGTACTGCTGCCTTCAGTATTTATTGCATGACGGTTAAATCGTTCATATTTAATGACATAATGACATTAAAAATAATAATAATATGAGAAATTGTATGTAAAATTGTAAGAACAATTTTTACCAGAGATGGCATATGTACACCTTTAAATAGCCATTTAATCGTTGTACTATTCTATACTTGTACTCGTTATTTCTCTATTTTCTCTCGTAATTTCTATATTTCGTTATTGTTGCTTTTCTATAAGAAATGTTTAATACAATTTTAAAAAGTAAAACATTGTTTTTTATTGTGTATATATGTACAATTATTGCACAATATAATTATCTTGACTCCTCTCGGAGTTTTACATGGTGTGTATGTGAAACTGCCCCATTTAATAGCGTACATATGGTCCTTGATAGAATTAAATAGCCTATCTAGGAAACAGAATCTGTGCGCAATCTGCCGTCAGTCAGATAATTATTTCGCTAACAATCGGTTAGTGAGAAGGAAGTAGAAGTAAAAGGATGACAAAAAACTTTTTATTGTTGTGCGATGTGTGAATTACCAGTGTGCAAAGAGCATTGTACACATTATTGCTAAAACTGTGCCTTATAAACATAGTACTTTTATATAATTTTTTTTCTATCACTTATTTACTTAGATAACCAAACCTGCGCGAGTAGATTTCGCGTAGTGTCTGTAGATAGAATGGTAACAAATTGTACACAGAATCTGTTCTGATGACAGATTGGTGACAGATTCTGTGTACAATTTGTTACCATTCTATCTACAGACACTACGCGAAATCTACTCGCGCAGGTTTGGTTATCTAAGTAAATAAGTGATAGAAAAAAAATTATATAAAAGTACTATGTTTATAAGGCACAGTTTTAGCAATAATGTGTACAATGCTCTTTGCACACTGATAATTCACACATCGCACAACAATAAAAAATTTTTTGTCATCCTTTTACTTCTACTTCCTTCTCACTAACCGATTGTTAGCGAAATAATTATTAGAAATACATGTTTAGATAAAAGAGGAATGAAATGAGAAATACAAAAACCAAATAGGATTAATCTACTTTTGTATTTAAATAGATGGAAATGATGTGCAACAATATTATTTATTATGTTATAAATATATAGAACTATGTTTTGCTTGGCCCGCAACATTAAAAAACTTTATTTTAGCATTGAAAAGGCTAATTTTAGCATTAGAAAAGCTTATTTTGCATTAAATATTTAAAAAAATCATTAACATTTAATTTCAATTATTTCCGAAAATACTAACGCCGTCTGCAATCTGGGTCTTTTGTTGTTCAACTTTGACCCCGTACTATTCGAAAATCAATTATCATGGACTGACGCCGCTTGGTGAGTAAAATCCTATTATTAACAATATTTTTTACGAGAGGTAACTGGAAACCACCTTCCCGTCATTTCGAAGAAATTTGAAAATAAAATTTTGCCTGAGTCGCAAAAAACCCAGATTGCAGACGGAGGGTTAATTTGCATCTAATATTGCATTTAGAGCAATATTGCATCTAGAGCAATCGTTAATTAGCATATGTAATATTTGCATATAAATTAAAAGAAATATGAAATTTCATATTATTTATAAAGATAGTCTTTTTAATTAGATGTATAAGTGTCTTTAAAAAAATAATTACAAATTTAAAAATATACCTTAATATTATACCATAATTAAAAAATATACCGTAATTATTTTAGTAAAAATACCCATATTTATTGTATACTTCTATTACAATAAATATGGATATTTTTACCAAAATAATTATGGTATTTTTTAAATATGTAATTATTTTTTTAAAGACACCAATACATCTAATTAAAAAGACTATCTTTATAAATAATATGAAATTTCATATTTCTGTTAGTCTACATGCAAATATTATATATACTAATTAACGACTGCTCTAGGTACAATTGCTCTAAATACAATATTAGATGCAAATTAACAATCGTATGAATTTATGTTGAAACATAGTGAAGAAATCAGATTTCCATATATTTCAGTAATTTTCATCAACATTTCAATGAGAAAGAGTTTTCATATCCTAATATATAGAAAAATAAAGAAATTAAATTTTAATTAACATCATCAATTATCAGTGAAATTCAGCAAGATTTCATTATTTATTAAAAACTTTTTCACGAAGTTTTTCATTGGTCAATAAATGAAGTACATAAAGTACTTATTTACAATGTATTATGAATTATTGTTTCATCAAGGTTCAGCGCAATTCAGAAAATTTTTGAAAATTATTGAAATATATTTTCACAAATTTTTTTCATCAATATAGCAGAGATTCAATACAATTTACTCAGTTTTCATTGAAATTCAGTAGATTTTATAACATTAAATATTTCAAAATGTTTTCATTACTTTTCATCAATATTCATTTAAAATTTATTGTTTCGTCACATTTTTCATAACAATTTATAATGAAAATCATGATTCATTATGAAATATTTTCAGCAACTTTTCAATAACTTTCATTTCTTTTTTCGACGATTTCATTGTATTTTCAGCAAATTTTTTCCATCGGGGAAATTTTAATGATTTGTTATTTATTTTATTCCTTTACTATCCGAATTGTTTTCCTTTTCTTAGATTTATGGAAATTTATTTATTTCACCACAATATCGCATGGTGTGCGTTTATTTCTATATTTCAGTAACTAATGCAGAAACATATTTACAATAATATATTATATTGATTTATAATATATTATATTGATTTAATTTATATTGATTATGTATAATCAATGTGGTTAAAAGTTAGTTTATAGAATCGATTGAAATAAAACGCGATGTCCTCATTAAACTGTAAAAAGTTAAGTAACGATAAAGGCAACGAGTTATTTTTGAGAAGGAACTTTCCCAACCCTAAGTGTAACACATCCACACGGAAAAAAAGATCTGTTATATGGACAACTAAACATAATTTTATGTATTAGCCACTTTTTCCTTGTTACAGAAGCCAATTTTCTTGCTACGATAACAAGAAAGTCTACTCCTTCAACAAAAAAAATAGCTAAAGCAGAAAATTATGTTTAGTTGTCTATCTGTAGCAAATTTGCTACGTTAGCCACTTTTCTTGCTGTAAGAGTAGATTTTCTTGTTATCATAGTAAGAAAATAGGTTCCTACAGCAAAAAAAGTAGCTAACACAGCGAATTATATTTAACTGTCCATATGTAGCAAATTAATTTGCTGCTGCAGCAAATTATTTTTTTTTCGTGCAGGTGCGCTGAATGAAAACAATTTGCACTTAAACATATTTTTCTTCTCTTTTTTATTTATTAGTGAAGTCGATGTGCAACATGATAAGAAGAACACGATAAGGAGAAAAAGTTACAATACCTGTGCTGTTAGGTCAGCCAATGCAGCATAAGCTATACTCTGCGGAATCATAGTGAGGCCCAGAGTGATACCCGCGATGAGATCCGACATGGCTTTCATTCGGCTATATTGCGGTAACCAGCCGAATATAGGCACGTATTTAGCCATCGCAAAATGATACTTCCGCTTCGTCGATCGTGAGCATTCCTCAATTTCAAACATCTTCGTGGTCGTAGACATCGTTTAGCGAGATATCAACAATTAATATATCACTTACGAGAACCAATGCACGATTCCTCGTACTTACCGCGCGACCGAATTTAAGCGAAATTTAACACGAGATGTGTGTAAATATCGCGATATCTGTCTGCCGCAGCGAATCGTCGCATAGCACACTGTATGATTCGGTTCGGTCACAGATCTTATCATGTATGTGATGTAACGTACATATCCCCTGTGTATCCCTAAAGCTCCGTATAAACGGAGGCCGAAGAGAAGCTTCGCTTAATACTATCTTCGCTCGATCGGCGTTTTCTTTACACGTGCAGCACTGTTGACAATTTGATAAAGATCTTCGCGTATGGAAAACCTTGATATGAGATTGATAGATGTTAATGAGCAACTTCTATAACAGTCTGTTATTTACAATTGTTACCATCCTAATCAAGACACGCAGTGAACTGGCAATGACACACTCAAAACTTTTCACATGTGTCTCTCAACGGAATCGGCGGGAATAAAATAATCAGTGTCACAGAGCTTCGTTCTCGCTAGCATTTATTGCGTATTCGCATGATGCTTCCCGTCGCGCCAAATGTAGATATAATCAGTGGAGCGCGTCTGGCTCCTGCGGCTCCCCATTCTAACAATATAGTTAATCCATATGTTTTGTCGCGCCGAATATCTATAAAGAGATATTAGAAAACACACAATCGCGCGTATAAGCAAGGATATTGGTTATCATTACATCACGCGCAATGGCTTTCGCTTCCATCTGTTTTTCATCAAAGCAGCGGAGCGCTATGCTAATATCGGCTCTCTATGAAAAAGTCACACTATCATAATACAAAAGTGAAAAGAAGATTGAGAATACACAGCACCTCGCATGACTATCACAACAACAATAACAACAACAACAATGATAATAATTATAATATAGTTGTGTAATAATAATAATAAAATAATAATAATATTAAAGTGACAACAATAATTAATAATAATCATAACACGCGTGAGAGAGAGGAGGAGAGAGAGAATGATGAGAGAGAATAAGTATCTCTAAATAAAAATCCATTTGGATGTAGTGCGTTTGATTTCATCTCGCGTTTGGAATACGGCTTTTTCCTTGACATTTCGAAAAATATTTAGCGTAGCTTTTTGTTGACTTGATCAATCTGTTCATCGATTCTCTGAGAAGTCCCCCTGAACTTGTTTGGCTCAGGCCCGATCATTTGTATAAGCTGAGGTACTTCTTGACCACTGATCTGCGTGAAACGCGCCAATGATTTCATGCATGCATAAAGTTGCTCCTCTGCAGGACTGCCGTTAAAGTATTGCAGCAATGCCATCGTCAGCTCCACAGCAACGTCATCGAATACCTACAATTCACATTTTGCATGAGAATTTAAAAAAAAATAATATTACTTGTTATGATATGTGCCGAATATTGCTGATATATATATATATATATATATATATATATATATATATATATATATAAAAGAAAAGAATGTTACACCGTATCACCAGCATGAGTTTAGCAATCAACAAACTATAATCCAAGTAGCAGTCGTAGAAAATTTGGAATTTCAAAACTCTATGTTTATTTTACAATGAATTTAATCGACTTCATGATTTTTAGTAACTTGAGAGAGTCGTATTATTTTCCAAATATTTTCCATGTATGAATGGAATATTTTATTAGATTTAAAATTAAGATTTCGAAAAAATTGACTTTTGAAGAAGTTTAAAAGTACTGCCATAAGCTTCCATAAGTTTCAATATTTGTTAGCGCATGTAAATATTATAGAATACTTATGTATCAAAATATCGTAATCACGATCGTCACGCATCGCATTCATTATATTATATGCACGACATGTAAAACACCGATATTATCTGACGACTTACCACAGCATACGATTTGACTCTACATGGATTTGGATAGATACCTTAGAAATGCTGCCTTTCGGTAAAAGTCGCCGTAGATTTTTGCTTTTGTTCATTTTCTGAAAAAACAGTACCCGATTTCTGGAAAGGTATCCGTTACACGTGCAGCGCGTTTGCTGCCTTAAATTAGAGAGTTTCAGTGTGCACATGCAATCGAGCATCGAGTCGTGTATTTTTCAAACCGTTTTTTGACTAGTGACAAACTAAGTGACGTTTTATGCTAGCGATCTCTTATTTTTTGTTTATTTATGAAATTAGGTTACCATGTTATCAGATGTTCACGTCGATGACCACGTTTAGCATTGACAAATCTACTACCGTTTTTCTTTCCGTTATTAATAAAGGCAGCATTTCTATCTCAGGACACAATACGAACGTCGCTTATTTTTCTATGACATCGGCAAGCACACATTCCGAAAGCAAAATTACAAATGAAATCGCACATCGAAGAAAGGAAAAATAAAGTAATCTATTCAATATATTAAATAATTTTAGTACATATTTTTCCCACACAATGATTCATTTGGTACTTATATACTTTTTTATACACATAAATGTATGTATATGTATATGTATATCCTAATAGCCAAGTCTACTGGAAACAGATTTCACCAAACACCTGTTGCAAGTTTTGTAGGCAGAATGGCGTTAGAATTGTTACGGGCTCAGTAGTATAAAATAATTTCAGCAGAATGCCAGCAGTATTTAGACAAGATCTGTTAAACAGGTTTGATAGTAGACTGATAGCAGAAGTTAAACAGAACCAGTTTAGCAACCTGACGGAAGATTGGCGACACACTGAGAAAAATTTCTGGTAATAATTATCTGTCTGTGTGTAATTATAGTTACTAAATCATTTAGTGAAATAGTATCAACTAAATATAGAGGTGAATATGACCAAATCATTTGGTAATTATGAACCAAGAATCATGGTAATTGTTACCAAAGCTTGGTGACTATCATCAACTATCATTAAATAATGTAGTAAATAAAACCATATTGTTTAGTAATATTTACCACTATTACATGATTATACTATTATCTTAACTACTTAATTGTTATAATTACGCAAAGCATGGTAATAATTATCACAATTATCATATTAAAAATATTTGCAAATATTGAAATAATACTTGATTCCAACTTTGATGATAGAATGAGGAGCACGTACTAGGGTCGCGGCGGTCCGCACCTGCGTCTTCTTTTCGTTCCGGTGAGAAAAAAATGTCGAAAGCGCAGTTTGCTAGGCCGGGAATCAAACCTTGATCTTTCAGTTGTCGGACGACTGCTTTAACCACTGAGCTAATTGATGTTTCATGCTCACAACACTTTCCTTTCCCAAGATAACATTCAGAGATGCCGTTCAAGTTGGTAATTATTACCTTATTTGGTATTAACTATTACTAATGTATTTAATACTATTTATTAAATCATTTAATTGAGTTGACTAGATCAAAAATTTATGTTACTATTTTGTAATTATTACCACACATATGGTAATATTTACCATATTGGTAACTATTTACCAAATAGTATGCTAAAACGCACAACCAAATGGCTGTGGTAAATATTACCAGACTTTTTTCAGTACAGAATCGGAGCAAATACTGCCGTATGCAGTCTGACGGCAGATTGGCGGCAGAAACGCAGCAGATCCTGCTGTGTGCAGTATGACGGCAAATTGGCGGCAGAAACGCACCAAATCATGCCGCATGCAGTTTGACGGCAAACTGGCGACAGAAACGCAGCAGATCATGCCGTGCGCAATCTAATGGCAGATTGGCGGCAGAAACGCAGCAGATCCTACCGTGTGCAGTCTAACGGCAGATTGGCGACAGAAATGCAGCAGATCCTGCTATTTTTATGCCCTTCATCTTAGTCATATTAGTACTTCAAGGAAGCGTCTCTCAGACAAAGTGACAGTGATGTAGATAAGGTAAACAACTCAAAAACCAGAGATCTCAGGTTCGAATCTCAGCAATGGTAAGCAAATTTTCGAAGTACAATTTAAATTGAATTAAGTAGCGTGTGAAACAATAAAGTGAAAAATTTAAGAAAAATTCAGGAAAAGAGAAAAGTGTATAAATGTATATATATGTATATAAATGTATATATTTTAATAAATATTTTTTATATCAGGACCTTGAATAAGTTCTCACTGTTTTCCAACAGATAGCGTTACCAGAACTGCGTGCGTGTAGTTTAAGATGGTAACGCATCTATAAGGAAGTACTATAAACAAGCTTGAAATTCAGTGTATGTCATTTCGCCGAAGTGTAAACAACTTTTTTTTTCATAGTGTTAAACATGTCAAGTTTCGTGCCAAAAAAAGAGTATTTGCGGGGAATTTTACTGCACTACTTTATTAAAAAAAAATCTGCAGCTGAAGCATACAGAATTCTTGTTGAGACTTACGGCGACCATGTCGGAAACAACATGCAGAGATTGGTTTAGACGCTTCAAAAATAATGATTTTGATGTTGAAGATAAAGAACGCTCTGGCCCACCGAAAAAGTTTGAAGACGAAGAATTGGAGGCATTACTTTATAAAGACTCATGTCAGACGCTAGCTGAACTTGCAGAATCATTAGATTGATCATAGGAGTTGATCACACAACAGTTTCGAAACGTTTGAAAGTATTCCCAGCAAACACAATGTTACATGTAACGTACATGTTAGTTGTAATTTCCTACTCAACAATATAACTGTTACATAACACGCATGTTATATAACAGTTATATTGTTGAGTAGGAAATTACAACTAATATGTACGTTACATGTAACATTGTGTTTGCTGGGTTAGGAATGATTCAAAAGCAAGGACATTGGGTGCCGTACGAGTTGAAGCCGAGAGACGTCAAACGGCTTTTCACGTGTGAACAGCTGCTTCAACGGCAGAAAAGGAAAGGTTTTTTGTATCATATCGTGACTGGCGATGAAAAATAGATACACTACGATAACCCTAAGCGTAGAAGATCGTGGGGTAAGCCCGGCCATGCATTAACATCGTCGGCAAAGCCGAATATCCATGGCTTGAAGCTTCTGCTCTACATTTGGTGGGATTAGCTAGGTGTAGTTTATTATAAGCTGCTCAAACCGAACGAAACCACGGGAGATCGCTATCGACTACAATTGATGCGTTTGAGCCGAGCATTGAAGGAAAAACGGCCGCCATACGAGCAGAGACATGACAAAGTGATTTTGTAACATGACAACGCTCGGCCACATGTTACACAACCGATGAAAACCTATTTGGAAACGTTTAAATGGGAAGTCCTACCCCACCCGCCGTATTCATCAGACATTGCCCCTTCCGATTATTACTTGTTCCGATCGATGGCACATGGCCTGACTAAGCAGCACTTCCATTCTTATAAAGATGCCAAAAAATGAGCCGATTCTTGGATAGCCTCAAAAGACGAGTCGTTTTTCCGACGTGGAATTCAAATGCTGCCAGAAAGTTGAGAAAAAGTAGTGGTTAGCGATGGACAATACTTTCAGTGACATGTTTTTTACGACTTTTTTTAAATAAAGCATTAATTTTCACGAAAAATCAGCGAGAACTTATTCAAGGTCCTAATAATATTTATGATAAATATTTATAATCTATATATTGAATCTAAGGTCACAAAAATATTTATAAAATATTTTGGTAAGTATTTATACAGGGTGTCCGAAACTTTTCTCGATACAATTCGTAAGAAAATAAAACGGATTAAACGGAACAGAAAAGTCAAATACTATTTTGCGAAATTCGCAATAGTTTTCGAGTAATTAATTATTTTGTCTAAACAAATTAGCGCTCGAGCCGGCGCGCGATCGTGATACACGCGAATTGAGGCTCGCAGCCTCCCTTCGCTCATAGCTACGTTGTGTTTCGTAACTATGGTAACTATAGCTACGAGACACAGCGTAGCTATGGGCGAAGGGATGCAGCGAGCCGCAATTCACGTGTATCACGGTCGCGCGCCAGCTCGAGCGCTAATTTGTTTAGACAAAATAATTAATTAGCCGAAAACTATTGCGAATTTCGCAAAATGGTATTTGACTTTTCTGTTTCGTTTAATCCGTTCTACTTTCCTACGAATTGTATCAAGAAAGGTTTTATACTGTAT